CACAAAATGGTTTGGTTCAGAAAAATAGATGAATTTTGAGGTGGATTTTTCTAGGTTTATTTCTTCTTCCTGCTCCATTCCTTCCCCTTCTTTTGTCATCTTCTTTCCGTTTTCTTCTAACCTCCAGGGAAAGGGCAATTGCTCAACCAATATCGTGCACCTCCTGCTTCCCTCTCCTCTCTTTTGAGTACACCATCGGTTCGAGTATTTATTTCTTGACAAGTTACGGTGATTTATTCCATCTTAATGATTAAATCAATTGTCATCAAAAATATAAGAAATGGATATTTAACTGTTCGTTGTATTTGTTTCATATGTTTTGTGTTCCGTTCTAATAATGAGGATAAATTTGCGTGTATTTGTTACGTCAATGATAAATGTTGCAACAACGGTTTAAATGATGATGTCATTGAAGCTAGATGTAATTTATGAAAAGAATAAATAATTTGAATTTTAGTTGGGTAATCTGATAGTTTTGGATTACGCATCCGGTCGATTATGGATATTATTAAGTGGTGTCAAAGGAGTACGTCGCCTCAAAGAAATCATATTCCCACGTCCTTTAGGAACACAACAGGCACTCGGTATTGCAGTGTGTGTAAGTGGATTGGTAACTTTGGTTCTTTGGGCGCTTTCACAATGATTTATTGTTTGAATAATTGAGCGGTTGCTATGCATTCCAGAACGATTGGGTGTACGTGACATGCTTCAATCGACGTGAAGTGGTGTCGGTTCGATACCTGTATGATGGTACATTCTTTAACGCATTTCCGTTATCATCCTCTCAAAATCAGCACTCATCATCAGGTGAACAACGTCGAGCAATTTCTTTACCAAGACCATCGTCATCTTCAGTTCGTTTATGATTGCAGCAGCCATAAGTATTTATCAATTCAGCAATACTTGTAATATTCGATATTATATCTCAACTTCATTATTTTATGTCAGTGTTCAGTTCGATTCGGTTCTATTCAATTCTTGCACATGATCATTTATTTCATCGTGCAACGCTTAACGATTTACATGCTTACGTAAGTCAAACATTTCTATGAATATATCATAAGTGTATTTTCTTGTTTAAATTAAAATCCGGTAATAGATTAACATTTCCTTATTAGTCTTGCAATAATGTTATTGTATTATCTCTTTCACTATTGTCATCATTAACATTAATAATGTTACTATTATTGTTTTTATTATCTTCATCGGTATTGTGCATAAATACCTATAGAGATGGATGGGAATAATATGGAAACATTTTTCGGGTGTTCATTTTAACCAGTCACCAAATTTTGAACATTCAAAGATGGTTTTCTATACCTTCATATTGAAGAATTTCCGTCCAGTTACAGTATAACAGACAGATTCTTCTTACTGAATAGTCTTTAGAAATCAAATTCTAACGATTAAGTTGAAAATCAGTTGATAACTTGGTTGAAACAAAATTCCCATTTCTTTACTGTTTGAAATTCATTGGTGCAGGTGTTAAAATGGTCTATATTTGCACATTACTGATAATAATCCTAATACTCTAATAATAAAGATAGTAATAACACGGATAATATCAATAACAATATCTTTATGTATGAATAATTGTAGGAATTGTAACTGTAGTTGTTATAATTTCCGTTATTATTCACAATCATTTGATTGTTCAGTTATAATAGTTATAAAACTGTATGATATCATATTGTCGTGATGCATTGTTAGAGATGTTGAAAAATTAATTGTTTTAAAGAGACAGTACCTTATATCTAAATCATTTTGAAGAGATTCGTTCATTTGAAACGGTTCACTGTATTGATTTCATTTAAAAATGAACTTCAACGATTGTTTCGAAAAATCGTTTTGTTTCAACCGATTTAGATGAGAAGCGGTGTTTGTTTGAATTGCTTTGTATCTTGATTAATTTAAAGCGATCAAGTTTTACGTTCGATATATTCCCGTGAATAACTGTGTATTATGTACCATAATTCTAAAGTTTACAATCTGTCTGTATCTCTCAGACACTAATGTATACGTTGCAGTTGTTGTTGTTGTTGTTGTAAAGTGAAGAATTAATTGGTTGACTGATTTAGGGACGAAAAGGAATCCGAGAGCTCATTTATTTGATGTTTGCATGATACATACTAATAAGAAGTAAACTTTTTCACTTTACAATCAACTCACTGATATTGAATGAATTGATTCTCCCACTATTGCAATCGCAATTATTCACTTATATCAGTTTTTGTTCACTTCATTCAAAGTTATTCTTCGCATTTTCGCTAATGAAACGTATTTTGTTTCATTATTCACCTTCGATCGTTTTGTTTCCTTTTTTTCATGATCGTTTCCATTGTCAGGTGACAGACTGTGCGACAGACTTTTTTCAGGAACGGCACATTTTCTGTGGTAATAGGCCATTTGGACTAAGACAGGTTTTTCATTCAAGGGTGCGAATGGTATTCCAGGGTGTGCGACATAAAGTTTCATTTTCCATACATTAAAGTAGACGAGGGCGGATTTCAACACATACATGTGTATAAAGTAAACGAGGATGGACTCTAATGTATATCTTTTGAAAAAAAAAAGAAGGTTATTCTAATGGTATAAAGTTATCTGCACAATAAACACTGACTGTAGTGGATGAGTGATAGAGAGTGAATGTTGTGGGGGGAGCGAAGACGTCTTGAAATTTTCTACGGGGTGCGGAGGGGAAAAAGGTTAAGAACCAATGGCCTAATAGAAATGAAAGTTATGGAAAAGTTAGAGTAGATTTGGAGGCCTCTGAGAGTATCCAAGAATATTATCCCCAAGCGTTTGCGAATTATCCGAGTCTGTCGATTCTGCTTTTGGGGGTTTCAGAGGTCGTTTACTTTGGAATTTCTGAATAGACATATTCCTGTAGTTTCGCTGTTTAAAGAATCCGTGGTTTCAAATTCGTTGATTAGTGGGTATTTTGATTAGAACTCTTATATTTGTGAACACCGTCCAGAAAACATTTATATTTTGAGCTTTATAGGAATAATGCAGTGCATGATGACTGCTGAAAAAGGCATGATAACAGAAACAAAAGAGCTCATCAGCTTAATTTTGCTCCGAAATTCGGTAACATTCAGAAATGGGTGTGTGGTTACCGATCCAATTCAATGGCACAATGAATATCAATCATACACATTCGTGAACATCAGTTCTCATATGCAAGTAGTAACCATCACAAATCAGCTATTGAAGTCTGGTCTTTGGTTTGACCCTAAGCCTGCGCATCACATTTACTTTTAGATGCTTAGAAGCACTCTGGCAGTCGAGTGAGTGACTGAAACGATGGTTCTCAGTGCAGAGTGGTTTGTTAAAGATGGGCGTGGAATGTTACGGATGATATCAAACATCGTTTCTTGATAAGTTTATTGACAAGAGCGTAATCTTAATACGGTAGTGAAATTGAACATTAATACATGAACGTTTCATTTTTGTACGAAATCTGCTCTTGTTATACCGAACGAAGTTCTTTGAAGGAGAATAAATGTTTCATTAATTCGATAGTGAAGATGAATTAAGTGCACTGTTTATTATTGAAAAGTGTGTCGATCAAAGTCAGGAATATTCTATTGACACATTACGAAGTAGACAGGTTCGAAACTGAGGAACTCGAATAACTTACGAATATTTATGGCTAATACTCCCGGATGATCTCAAAGGCCTCCAGCTCAACTCTATTCGACACATAAACTCCATGTCCATGAGAGCAAATGTTCACTAGACCGAATATCCATGGGCGAAATGTGCGGACACGATTTTCCACCCTTTGGACCATCCAATTCAGAAGCATCAAGAATGTGGCCTAAGTATGTGTCCTCATCAGTTGGAATGCGTACATTCACAATTTGACTAACTACTTCATGAAGTTGTGAAACAGTTGGTCAAATTGTGAAATACTTACACGGCGACCAATGTTCGAACAAACTCACTGAGTTGTAAATTGGAGTGGAAGGAAAATTTTTTTGTGTTTGTGTGTTTTGTTTCGATGGCGTGTGATCATAGATGTCGAAGATTCAATCATTCTAGCAGCGCATTTTAGCTTTTCGATCAGGAATTTGTGGAGTCAAAATGGAATGTTTGAAATCTTCCAGTGAAAATGCCTAATACTGTCGTTTACAGCCATTGATCAGATTCTTGGTGGTAATCTTGTATTTTAGGTTGGTAAAATCAAAACGGCATTTCGTTCGTTTAAATTCGCAGTTGAATGTATAGTGTAGTTAGGGCACAACAAGAAATGTTCGCAACGGTGTTTCCACAGGCTTTAAAGGTTCCAAAGAGGATTCCCCGGGTTTTCACACTTAATTGCACGTTCACAGCACTGCAGACGAATCAGTAGCATGCAGGGCGGCAGTGATTGTTGATTAGATTGGCAAAATCATTTCACTGGGTTTGACACTTCACAATGACTTCAACTCGACAGAATGTGTTCGTAATAGTATATAGAGTAACTGTGATTGTTGAATAGGTTGGTAAAATCATTTCATTGGGTTGGATAATCAATTATGATTTGATTGAGGATGTTATTTTCACCGAAACTGTGCAATATGAGCGACTTGTTGCAGGCAGTCATGTTGTCAGCGGATACGTTCAATGTCACGAGCAAGTGCATAAGTTCTACATAGAAGTCCTCGCGAATTGCAGCACGGTACGAATACAGTTCAGATGATCCGAGTGCCCAGAGCTGCATAAACCACTTGGGATTACTTCAGTTGCTGGCAGTACGCACGTATTTCACGATCCCGCTCATCACTGTCGTTCATGATTTATCGTTCCTTACTGAATGCTCATTTACCTCTTGTCATGTACAGTTCACTTATTCCACCATATTGAATGCTCTATATCCTATATTTCGGACAATTCACTTATATTTTCTCATCAATTCAAAATCGCTATCTCTGCTATGATGACTGTTGTACCTAGAGATGTACATAAAAATGTGCATATGCTGTGACCTCAGATTGCAATTTATGATATAAATGTTGCAACAACGAAACATGCAACGAAGGAATATCGCAAGTTCGTGAACTGAAGCTATAAACAGACACCTTCGTTACGTGCACATCTCAGTGCCAAGCTAAAAACAAAACACAACGAAAACAGCGAACGATATTCTGGCAAAAGAAGTAAACAACAATAGAGATGTTGACGGAAAACGTTAAGTTCGCTCAGCATTCGTTTAGGAGTGACTTCGTATTCTTCTATATTATTATGTATATCCGAGCCTCCACTATCTGTTTATGTGTGATTTTGAATGTTTTTAGATACCTTTGGATTTTGGACACGAAAACAACCACACAACTCCACGCATTGAAGTAGGTCGCAGGAGCCACTGTAAAGAAGTCATAAAAGAGACCAAAATTTTTCACCGCCTGGAACTTGTGTCATCCCGTTTAATGCGAATTTATAACGTAATCGCCGTTACACTCCAATTAAAACTATAACCTGTAGCATCTTCAAATGGCTCCCCAGGGTGGCTAACCTGATTTATCGATCAGGCACTCTTCTTGACTGTTTTTTGAACGGTTGATCGGTAGTGGATACTGGTGTCGATTGCAGTTTTAGAAAAGTGTTCCGTTGCTGGAAAGTGATGGCGCTTTCCAAAGAAATACCACAGAACATTTCTTCATATCACAAAAAATAAACAAAATCTCTTCTTATTCAGTTACATATTGAAAACATCAAAGACTGAATCGACTGCAAAGTCATTATGAAGTTCACGAAACCAACTCTCATTTTAATGACACACTTGTCAACTTCGAAGATTGCTGTTGAATTGCGAATGCATTCGCACATTTAAGAGCCCATTTTTGTGGTTCTTCGATGTTTTTCAAAATTCGTTTCGTTTTATATTTCTCATCTTCTTTTATTAAACGTTCTGTCACGTTTTCAACAATAAAATATGGTCAGCAATAACAATTATAACAATCGTAAATATAATCGATAAACAACCACTAAAGAAATAATTTTTAAGACAATAATAGTTCTCGGATTTCAAAGCACTATCATGACCTATTTTGAGATATCAGGAACTATCATGACCTAAGATAATTAAATACTTTTTGAAAAAGTAATGAAAAAGATAGTGCCGATGTAACTAAAGCTGTTCGGTTCTCATGTTTTTTTCGACATTTTAAATAATCTACTCGGTCAGTCGATCTTTTAATAATGAAGCAGTTTTGTTGTTGCTTTAATTACGAAATGAGAAGTTGAATGTAATATCAAATATTCATCAAGAGTACTTTGAAGTGAAATTACTGTTGTAAATTTTTAGTTACAATGAAATGTTGAGCGCAGTTATTAACGGGTAACATAGATCAATTAGCATAGTCATTAGTTGACTGGGACGATGGTCAGGAGTTTATGAAGCTATCAAACGAAGACGAGTTCAGATTTTCGCCTCGCCCGAATAATGCATATCAGCTTATCACTAAGATTTTCCTTTCTGTAGAATATCAAAAGTAATCCGCTAATGATCATAGGATTTTCACTTTCAATCGGTCGAGAACGTAGCCTGTAGCCCATATATATGTATATACATCTTTTAAAGGATATTACAATGAAAGATATGTCAGCGGATTTTGGACACAAGATGCGGATTTCCAACAACGGCTCCAATTTACAAACATATTTTGAAAAGAGGACAATATGCTGAGTGCAAACGAGATGAATTGTGAAAAACAAATATTCACATCAGTATTAATAACGCTTGCAGCACAATTTTCATTTTATCAGACATTTTTGCTAATAATCAACACTGTTCAAATATGGCTTATAGAAAAACAATCGAACAACATAAGTATATATGAAACATTACTTGAATGAATTTATTCATGTCCTTGTAGAAGCAACATTTGTTTTTCATGTATTATATCACGAATTTCTTTCTCGATTTTCAATAACTCAACACGACTTATACTGCCGATTTCCCGTAATGGATAAATGAGTGAATTACCTAGAACGAAACATAAAATGTTCCACATCGATTAAAAAATAAAAATAATCAATGATAATCATGCGTTGAATTTTGATATAATCAAAAATGAACTTGGTTGAAAAAAAATGTTCTGATAATAACCGCATGCGTTGGGCTCTTAAAGCAAATGAAACTATGACAACGAAGGCTCGGCAACAAAATATAAACAAGAGATGATAATAATAAACTTACAAAAGACAACATATTCGTCTTGATCATAGAACGATTTGACAGGCTGATTACTATTATCAATAATAGCGCCATTATTATTTTGTTTACTGGTTGATAAATACGAAATACATTTTTGTTGTGGATCAAATGACGACGTGCATGGTAATATGGATGTTGTGTCTTTATAATTATGATACTTTTCCAAATTTTTATGATCAAACGATCGTTTACCAAGTATTGAGTTCGAATGATTCGGTGACGAAGATGCATTCGTTGATTGTTGAGGCATCACGTTGTTATTATTATCATTATTATTATCAACCATATTACTGTTATTATTAATGTGGTGATTATTTAAACTGTTATTATGCACCGTGTTCAGTTGATCCAAAAACGTCATCGCCGAAAAAAATTTCCACCTTGGCGGTATGATACAACCACTTTCATCCGTTACCACTTTCTTCCGAATTTTCAAGTACGTATCTTTCAAATTCTTCCACTGTTTTTCAATATCGTAGCCTATAATTAGACTTTATAAGGAAATTTATTCTGACGGCACAGTAGTGGGATTACTTTGGAATGAGAATCTTTGGTTCATAAACGCTGATTCAGGGTGAGCACTAGGAGAACGTGCAAAACTATCAACAAATTCTGTGTTCTTGAGTATACACTAATCAATATTACATGAAAGGATGTTGTCCTCAGTAGATAATAATGCAGCAATTTCAATGAAATAATCCTTTCGTTGTCCTAGTGATTTCGGTTCTCGTCCATGATCCCAGATAGCTGGTCTCAAATAAATCGCATCGATGATTGAATAACGTAATTCGTCATTAATCTTCGTAGCAACTGTTTCGTGTCGTTGCTGATGTTGCTGATCAAGATGTGCTATTGTACATAAATGATGACTTGTCAAGTCCTTATCGGTATTTTTGCTTAGTGGAATCTGCAATTTTCTGCGTGACCATCATCAAACGTTTGAAAATTTATACGCATGCAGCATCACTTATTGCCTGAGAAACATTGTTCATAATATTAGTGATAGATTAAAGATTTGTTCCATATGCAATTAATAGCTGAAATTTAGCAAAAACTTTACACTTACTTCCATTTTAAGACAGAGAAGGCACGATAGCTTTCCCAACGAAGTCTCAATTTACCATTGTTTCTACGAAGATACACTTTGTTGAATAACATTTTCGCCGCGACGCATCGCGACAACGCGTGCGTCGCGCGTTCGTACGATGAAATATCACATGATGTTCACTGCGTCTCGTATGGCATAGCGGCGCTGTGGTAAAAAGGAGACGTTAAGAATTGAGTGATCATCGAAGGATATATTCATATGTTGCAGTGGTCGAATACAAGAGGTCAGTTATAAGCAAGAGCACTAAAACTTAGTTGCTGCCATGCTTTCATTGAAGTCTGCTTGTGGGCTGATGAATTAAGTAGCCTACATCAGCCAGCAATGTAGCCTGTTGTATTAAATTCGCGTTTAACATAGAGGTTTACAAATCAGCATTGGAGTTGAACTGTTGAATTCAGAAATTGAATTCAGAAGTTTTGGTTGACGATTGTTGTTCAAGTGGTGTTTGTCACAAATTGAGGAGGCAATTTGCTGGAATTTTGGAGCATATTTTCTTGGTTATGCTTACGTGAGGAGGTACACATACGTTGTTTAGTGAGGTTTACTACTGACTTACCAAACTTCACAGTTACTATTACTCTTGAAATTGTTCAGGTTGATTTGATAGTGAATAGATAACTATGCTTGAATTCGAAGTAGTACCAGAATGTTGTCTCCGAAACGAACAAATCGAATTCACGCTTGGTATGCCGATCAATCAAGTGATTATTATGCTTCAGAACGCATCACGCACATTGCATAACGTTGAACTAGCTTATTCAGATAAGGTGCCTCTTTTTCATACTTCATATTCTTTCGTTATGGCTTCATCGTTTGTGCGTTCTGGTTGATTTGATCAATTTGAAATTGATATTTTAAAATAAAAAATGATAACTCTGGAATTATCGTCGTTTAAATTTATGCTTATTTTATTAAACTAAAATTTTGAATGCCACGCTTTGTTTATTAAGTCAATAAACTGAAATAAGTCAATCTATGATTGAAGAACGTTGTCAAGATTCGCTCTACAAAATGAGCATTATTTCCTGAATACTAACAGAGTTTGATTATTCTCGTGATTTCTTTATAGTTCATGTGAATTAGTTCTGATGTAGTGCATCAAATAGGATGAACTTGTTGTCATATGATGAAGTATTCTCTATAATAAACGACTAAAAGTAGCTTTATTACAGGATCCACTCTCGCGAGACATTACCATTCGTCTTGTAAAAGATGGTATTCGCCTTCGTTTTGAGCCGAATTCCCAACTGCTTCGAGTACGTTTGATGTTAGCATCTGCTTGTAATGCGGAGATCTGTTATCTCGTTCGGGAGTTAATGTTAGACGATGGCTTTTTGTCATTGATGATTGCGATTTTATACGTGTACAATTGAATCTGAACTCTGCACTTAACTGTCACAAAGCTGTTGTTTTCATTTGCATGAATAATGCTTTTAAAATGGTAGTTGTATCGTTAGGCATTAGGCATATCACCCAAAAAGATAGCAATATTGATTGATGCTACTCTATTTGTTTCCTGTTTTCAGCTAATCGAGGTGTACGATCTATCGAATATTATTCTTCGTTACTGGTACCATTCTTCTCATATTTTTCTTTCCCTCTTTCCCATCTTTTATAAAAATCTGAATTAAACGGGTAGTTTCATTTATTTTGTACAGTACCGTTATGCTTGTGATGAATTAATCTATCAGTTAAGCAATAAAAGTTGTGATTATTCTAATGAGATTCCAAACTCTTTATATTCCTTTTCAGTTCAACCATATTTTCGAAACCTGCTGATGAAGCTGATCCCAGCAAAGTGGGAGCTTGCTTCGGCGCCACTCATCCAGGAGGTTCGTTATAACGAATCTGAAGCTTATGCCACTCTAAGTTAAAGCCATCCCCTCCTTGAGACTCTCGCTCGTTTGATGCCCAAACACAAACGAGACGTTACTCTCTGTGTGTTATCTGGCGTTCTATACAGCTATTCAAAAAGCAGTCGAACTGAATCTGTTCTTTTCCTTCAGTATATGATCCGAATCAACGTCTATACGAATTAAATTGGCGTGGTCTTTCGTTCAGTTTTCATGCGCCAAAAGAAACCTCTACATTGCAGGTTCGTTCCGTTCACGGTTTCAATTTGAACACACTGTCGTTTGTTCGTTGAATAATCACATAATGTACAGGGAAATTAGACAGTCAGTAAAATGTCGAATTCATTTGAACATTTAGACAAACTCCATGTTTGAGGTCTCGATTAAATTCTGTGCTGTATCTAAATCCCGCTTAAATTCTAAACCCTGCTATCTCAGCGTGTGCTTGAGTAATCATTTCTTTCATTAAAAGTGAATTGCTCATAATTCTTGTTGAATTTTTTCCTGCGTAATTTGGTTTTATTCGAAAAACCCGTTGTCAGTGTTAGTACTGATAACAGTATTTAAGCACATGATAATTCTCTGGGTACTGAATCTTTTGAACAATTTTTTTTTTGAAAGCATAATAACGGTGTATTTCACTCTGGAAGGTTCCATGAATAGATCATTTTTCCAATCGAATACACCTATTCCTTACTTATCTTCCTCATTTTTACACAGACATCGTATGAGCAAGGTACGGGTCTCGGTACGTTACAATTCACCAGTTCAACTCCACCTCGGCTTGCAAAAATGACTATCTTTGGAGGACCACAAAAAACGAACCCTAAGTAGTCATTACTGTAAATTTTTTTTTAAATTGGTGCATTCAGTGTTTGTTGCTTGCTTCTTAGTTGTGGAACTTCTTCAAAAACGTGGAAGTTTCGTAACTCGTGATTAGATGTATGAATTACTTTCTGTTTTTAACGTTTCGCATAGCGAAATTTTTAATGTACTGTGTTGGTTACGTAAACTTGATTCAGTTGAATGACCACAAAAAATACCTAATTTCTTGAAATAATTGAATGTTGGCTTCGAAGATTAGACTTGTATTGCGCAAAAACGCAAGTGAGAGTCACCTTTCTTCTTTTCAAACGCTCAAATCTTTGCTATGCTCAAAGCTTCTGATGAACTCTATTGTTAACAAGTAATGAACGAATGTATCTGAATTCAACGAGGTTATCTTCGTTAAATATGATTGAAGTTGTATCCAATTTGAGGTTACCACCGACACCTCTATCAGCGATGTGTGGCATGTGCTGTCCAGGTTCAGTACGTTCTGAAACTGATGGAAAGCATATTTCGGGCCTTGTATTTAAGTTTGTCTCCCAAGGTATTGCAATCAATATGTTATTTAAATTGTATGGTTGTCTTTATCGTTTTATCGTAATTCTTGTCCTGATTATTATTAGTATTGCTGTTATTTAATTTTTACTATTGATTATTCGTCCCTGTTTAAATTTTTGACTTTAAAAGCAGTGAATTTTTGTAATTTAAGTACCAACAACAACAGTCAATCGCACCTCGGATCTTTCGATGAAGCGGATTGAATTGAAGCGTGTTGTGTCGTTTGGTGATACCACTGAGGTGCTTTATTTTATGTTCTCTATCACAATATTTCGTTCTATCCGCAACTTAGCATTTTTCTTCTCATTTTTGTCATGTGCTCACGAATCCAATTTTCTTCACTAGTGCATTTTGAATAGCTGTGCGTCTGATATCACGCAAATGTTCGTGAATTCATGTCATTTCTGAACCTTGGAGTTTACGTTTAAAAACTACGTGTCATTCATAATTTCAAAGCGTTCTATTCAGGTAGGTGTCATTCCATCAGTTATCCACCACTTCTCAAATGTAGCTGTTAAGGGAAGATTGCTTTCAGAATTAATGTAACAAATAAGTTATTATAGTGTGTTCTATCTGCCCTTGGTGCACCGTCAAAGGTTTACTACGCATCCGCTGAACCAATGTTAATTAAGAGAGGTGCTGGCTCAGAAAAACTTCGTGGGTCGCAACCACACTTTTTTTTCAATTATTTCGCACTTGGAGTGGTGAGCATTTGTATTTCGCTATTGTTATCATTGCTTTCATCATTTCCGTTCTTTGTTATTGTCATTTTCACTGCGCTGTCCGAATGATTTTTCATCGGGAAGAAAACTGGATGGATTTGCGACAAACTTCAATCATAATTCATTATCTCATGCAGTCCTTAGCGACCTTCAAAAGTTCGTTAGTTCATGTTCGAAATAATAACGATGACCGAATTGCCCCTGTTCTTCAGCGTTTAGTTACTACATTAAAGATTGCGGTAATTTTACAAGCGATTCATTTTCTCTGAAATCACTATTCCTACACGACGTTTTTAATCAGTGGGGTACGAAGAAGTAGTTCACAAGTTCGAGGGGTAGTTGATCATTTCACTAACTATGTTGGGAAATAAGACTTAACTCTGTTTCATTTAGTCACTACGATTTAGCAGTTAAAGAAATATTCATTGTTTCATTCCTTCATATCCAATATTTGTTGGAGGATCATCGCCTATCAAACGACATTCAATGTTGTATTGCAGCAGTGAAACGAGTTAGAAATATGAAGCGATCAAGTTATTTGTTTCAGGATGTATGTTTCGATAGTGCAACCAATCGTGTTTGTAAATTCGTTTTACATTCCAATCTTCCGGGCCATTACGATTTCGGAATGTACGTCTTTTGCCATTGAATCTTTCAATGAGAGTCAGCTTTTACTTGAGAGTTGTCAGCGAATAGTTACAATAACAATTACGACAATCTATCAATCACAGAACTAAATGATTCGTAAAAAGTTCAGCGATTTTTGGAATTTATATCGCCAATCGATCTTTTCAGATACGCGAGATGCAACTTCTCTATAACACTTCCCGAGGAACAACTAACGCTTACATCTACTTCAAAGGTGCTATTCTACTTTCAGTTATTATCATACTCAGAAGCAATATTATTGTCTTCTTCATTAACGTTATGCTTTTCCAGTGGTTCTTACTATTCTATTATCGTCAACAATATTTCTATGGACTGTGAGGATTGTAGAAGCGTGTATCACGAAAATCAAATGAGAAACCTTTCAGAGGGAATCGTTCATTGATCATTTCACTGACGGCACAGATATGGCAACTCAACAGGTTGTTTTAAGCCGTAATGAGAATCGAAATCGTAATGATGCTGACAATCCATTTGGTTCAACGGTCTGTTATGGTACGAAGCAAGTGATCGTTGAGGTAATCTGCTCAATCAATCATTTTTGAGCCTTAGTTCAAGGATTTAGAGTAAGATGTTTCCGTTTCGACTGTGACCTTTGTCAAGACCTATGTAAATAATTCTGTTGTATTATTTAACCTGCTAAATATTGGACTGTACAAGCAGACCTATTGATTAAAAAGAAAGAAATTCAGTTTGGTTTCAAAAGAAAGGATCTGTAATAAGCCTGGCTGAATTGTCCTTATCAGTCATACATTTTCTTCACTTTCATAAAATTCGTTACGTTCAAAATGATAACTCTGTAATATAATTGATAAATTTTTCAGGTGATGAGCAACGGACTAATCGCATCATTAACTCTCTTTGGATTTCATTCGAAACGTATAAAGTATACAAATATGTAATATAGCTGTGCATAAAGATCTTGAAATCGAATAAATACTCTACTCGTCTAATTTTTTTGACAATAAAAATGCTTCATGAATTCACTCAAAACGTGTTTTGAATTTCAGTATTAGAAATTAGATTTATTATGAAATCAAGAATTGGATGACCTCGTATTGATTATTTTGAGAAAAATTATTTAATGGAACCTCATTAAATACTGGCAATAATTCGTCATGAAACTTTTATTGTGCATTAGTTGGAATGTTACAACTTCGATTAAAAGCGTACTTGAACTGAAGTAATGCGCATAGATGGAAATTTATTCGATTGAATTTATAAAAGCCACAGTCAGGGTAACTGATTTACGATCTCAGTTTCTCACTGCATCAATTGAATCGTTATCAGTCGGAAATGTTCCATGTGGAAGAAATCAGTGGATAATTCGTTCTCAAAACGATGACATCAACCCGAATTCTGTGCAAAATCAGATTCCACCTTGTTCATCACTGTTTTCCGTATACTATCACCATGCGTTTATACAATTGTATTACGTTCAATTCAATTTATTTTGTACTTCAAGGAAATTTACAACTAATATCATCAAAATTTTGAACTGCCACAGTTAGTGTCATGAATCCTCTGTTGAGTTCTCAAACAATGGAATAAGCACAACGAAGCCATTAAAAGATACTGGGAAATTTATTACAAGTTTGTGCAACATAGGTCTTCGGAGAAATAATCTCAGAACGAGTGCAGCATATTCACGTTATTTAAAACAAATTATTCATTAATAAATAATAACACTGAAACGAGTGAAGAAAATAAGCAAAAGTGAATTATTAAGTAGAAAAGGGGAACACTTCTCAAGAATGTGTGTTTTTCAACAATAAGCAGTATGAAAAAACAGATCTGAGGAAGTTTCAGATCGTGGTCATTCAAGCCCTCTCTTTCAAATTTTACAAGCAGTAAACCCATTCTGACGTCAGCAATTTCACAATTTCGGTTTGTTCTTATAAATGATACGTTTGTGGTTCACTTTCGTTTTCACTTCAGATGGTCTGGGGCTTGCGACTGGTCGTGATAATTTTTCATTCAGTGTGTCAAAGAGTTTAGAACCACAAGGAAAAAAGCTTCGTTTGTTAGGAGGAAAAAACTTGGCTTTTGCAAAGAAGCAGCTTAGCTGGATAATCACTTATGCGTAGTACAGTACCAATGATTTCAGCAGAACCGAAAGGATTTTATTGAGCAATACAGAAAGTGCTGTTGAGAAATTATTTAGATTCTTGTTCGAGCTGTAATCGTTCTTATGCTTTTCGCTTCGGCTTCTTCGGATTCTTTGAACGACTTTTGCTTTTGCACATTGGACAAATGGGTGCGTTGCGATGGATTTGTTGGAAACACGACTGACAAGTCTAAAATTTAGTTATTTGAATAAAATTTATCAACAAATTAGTGGTCAAGGAAAATCGATTGGTATTTGTGAAGAGGCACTAAATGAACGCAAAAGAATGATCATAGAGATAATGAAATGAGAAAAGAACTTACCTTCATTGGTGGTGACTGATGGTCGAGTTTTGAGATCGATGAAGCAGCGGTAAGATGAGGATGATGATGATGATGGTGTTGTGCTGCCACTGCAACAGCAGCTACCTGGGGTGGTAGCAATGCAGATGAGTTATTAGAATTAGTTGTGTTAGTATTCGATAGTGAATTAATGACGTTATTCAGTGATGCTGTTGAATGCATATTTGTTGCATTGGAACGAGGCATTAACGCTGCATTCTGATTGTGGTTATGGCCACTTGCGTTGTACGTATTCACAAGATTCATCGTGTCGAAACCAAATATCGTGTTATTCTGCATTATTGCTGGTATTGATGTACTTGATGTCGCAGATGTATTCGTCGATATGGTTGAGGTATATTTTAATTGTTTCAATAAATTTGATGGCATCACCGTTGATGTCGCACATCTAAAGGCAAAGCGCATTTATAGATTGTTAATGACTGCGACACATTATTTAATATTCATCTTAAACATAAAAAAGTAAACTTAACGAACATTGCAAATTTGTTTGGTGGGATGATCGCAGTTGGTATTAAATCTTCATCAGGTAAGCCACTTTCACGAGATAATTCATTTGCTTGTTCAAGTAGGCGATATATTTCATCGTATTTTTTCGATATGTTACCCTCCATCAGACGACGCGTATCTTTGGCCGAATTCATCAGTTTCTCCAGTTCTTGTTTATCCTGAATTCGATTTCGATGAGAACTTCACATACCTATGCAAGTTAATGATGGAAACGAACGGAATGTTCACTAAAAAATGATAACCGAATTGATTTGTTGTATCATCTCACTGTGTGCATCCTTCTCATCGTTCAAGTCACAAATGGTTTTTTGCGTTTCATCGATGAACGTTTTCGTTTGTTGAAAATCAGCTAATTCGTTCAGCAATTCATTACGTTTTGCATTAAAATCCTCCAATTTAATTCTGAAACGAATGAATTCAACTCGGCTGAATCTAGTGTTGGGAACCGACTAATTTTTTTTCGATGGATTTCTGATTGAATGCCTTGTCAGGAGCCACCGAAAATGGGTGGCCACCCAAAAGAAAATTTTGGACATCGGTCGATCGATGGTAACCAAAGTTCGGTTTGCCGACGTCCGCAACCGAACCAGCCCTTTCGATTACGGTCAGAGGCCCCCAAAAATCGGTCGGNGATTTTTGGGGGGTTTTCGTGGTTCGATGACCACCGACTCAACTTTAGCTGAATCATCACTCCAATGAACCTTCAATTTCAATCACAAATACTAATTCATCAAGCCATTTAAAACTACCTACTTGGCCTGTGCGATTTTATGAAGATCATTTGAGAGAGTGTTCAAATCTATCACTGGTGATGGCATATCGCTTGCTCGGCGCGTTTCAAGCAATTGCTCAATGGCCTGATCACTCGGAAAGCAGTCACTGAAAGTTGATAACCCTTCAAAGTTTTGAAGCTGATAACAATAATTATTACGATATTATTATAATACCAGCAGCCAGCTGATGATAGCCGATATAGCGTAGAGCCAGAGAGAACTGACCTGTGTCCAAACCGATAGATACTTCGTTATTTTCTAATGGTTCCCTATTTTATTATGCGCATGATGAAGACGATTCGTGGTAGCAACGATTAATAGGAGAAAATTACGCCAGTAATACGTGTTTCCTTTGAACGTTCAAATGTTTCACGCCATCATCAGAGAAGGAATGAGAGACGCCTATGCTTACATGGCTGTGGAATCGAAACCTTCANATAGTAGTATGCGAATGATATACCAACCGTTAAAGCCTTTGTAAATGCTGTAATCTATTTTTCATAATCTTGTCTTTATAATTTTTGTCGTAATCTCTCTCACAATTTGCAAATTCGGTTTCTGTGCACTGATTCTGCGTATTGTTGGAAGACGGGCTGCACAAAGGTGATTCATCATGCGCATAATGAACTATTGCAAAATGACAGAGTGTCAATTTGGACGCAAATCAGTTCTCTCTGAACCTACGTTATGCAGGATTACACCAGTTGGCTACACGATAACGCCATCAAGTGATTTTCCTGGAATAATAGCAGTAATTTCAATGATAGAATCAAAGGACCGAATAAGAAAGTAAACAAAGAGTTAAGATACTGAAATTGAGGGTTGGAAAAGGAGCACGCTAAACGAACGCATGAATGAGGGCAATAATATAAAAGAGGAGGAGTTACTATATGTCATCTATGATTGTAAAATAAATACATAATACAATATATCATGTCATATTAAATAATAGATTTTAGAATATCAACGAACAGAGCGAGCAATCGATTAAATGAATAATGCTCAACCTCGAGCATATAAATTATATGATCATTATTCATCTTTTAATAAACATTCATTCAAACGGTACTATTAATTTGAAATTTACATATTCACTAAGTTAAACTGCAACAGAACATTCAAGTAAGGTGATCATGAATTAACTGCGATTGTACGCTTGTTCGCTGAACTGTCCTCACATCGCAGACAACCCTGCATAGTCCAATATTAATAAACCAAGCTGTTCGAAGAAAACGTTTCAGGCTATACCGTATACATGTATGTACATGATAGGTGCTGCATGACGATATGTGTGTAAACATTGATATANATTGATATACGGTAGAGTCGATAGCAGCAAACGCAGTGCTCTTGGAGATATATAAAAATCCCTCCGTTCAGATGATAGCACGAAAATTCATTGGTAATTTTTTGACGAACGAATGCGTTACATCGGAAATTCATGTACTGTCCTAATGAAATTAGTAAAAAAAACGCCTGAGTGTTTTCGCCTTTTAACGGTGAAAACTTCATTTTCATTAAAGTACCCGTAATATGTATACCCTATACATATATGTGCATAGCAATCAAGATGAGCAGATGGCACTATAAAATACAGAAATAGATGCAAGCAACACCAGGCAAGCAATTCGTTTAGTAGCACCAGCAATGTATTCGTCTGGTTGTCTTTTTTTATGAATCGATTACAGGATAGGATGAGAAAATACAAGATATAAGAGCAATGAAAGGAACAGGATACGAGGCGAAAAAGAGGGACATTTTTGGGTTTATGAATGAATAAAATACAGCAAACAAAAATGATCGTTTGCTGGGTAATAAAATGCAATGAATGGATTAAATGAATGCACAAATGAACACACAACATATATATCTATGAATATATTTTAGGTTTATATACATATAACAATTCATACAACAGATCTACATGCGTACACATATATCAGGCTCGGAGAGAGAGGTGGTGCGCATGAACCCTGGACAAGGCACAGAAAAGTGAGGGGGATGGATTTGTGAACCAAAACTGGAAACGGGACACTGCTATCGATAGCTCGTGCATTCCAATTATTTTCCTTTAGCTACTGATAGCATTGTGTTCATCAAGGCGAAGAACGAAATTTGGAGTGAGGTGGAAATTCGTTACTGTAGACTAAGTTCCGAAATGGCATTGCAGTGAGGTTGATGAAATGTCGTTTGCCTCGCAATTCGATAGTGATCGAAGCATTTTCGCATGTATAACCGTATAGAAAGTAATAGGTACAGTCTATGTCTCAGTAGCGTTTGTTCTACGAAAAATAAAAGTACAAGGCATTCATATAACAGCATGCGGAACGTACAATAAAATGTACTTTCAATGATATTTCATGCAATAGGCATCAAGTCGAAACCAGGCTTGAAGAATATTCGTGCAGATGCTTATTTGATGATACTAACCAGGTAATAGCTGCATTATCCAACTACCACTTTTCATGTATGTATTGCAGGACTGAATGCTATCACTGCAGTACGATATCATGCATATATGACATTAGAGAAATTCTGTTGAATACGCTGAGAAAAAATCTATTCATGCATTAACATGACTCACTGACTGAATGGAACTTTTTAAAGCCATAAGGCGGAACACAAAAACATTCGTATGTAATTTGTACGAATCAATACTAAGCGAATGAACAATTTTTAAGATATGATCTTAGAAAATAACATGTTGTTCTTACTCAATATGAACAAACGAATCAAAAGATGAGCATTTATTTCAGATGTAAATTCGGAAGTGAATCGAAAGCTTACAACAAAATAAACCAATCAAAATGCTCATCATGAATGTTAAAAATCGATTTTTCGATTAAATCATTTCAACAATAACATTTAAAAGCATCCAACATTAAGCCTCTTAAACTAAAACATCAATCGTTCATTTTTTTATCTCGTACATATATGTCAGTGATCCAAACTCTAAACTAAGTGGCCTCAATGGATATTTTGAGAAATGAATAAAGCAATTCATTATTCGTTGCAGTTGTTCGTTGAAAATTGAAAAGTTCTCAGTCAGTTCAAATTAACTGATCATTTTAAGAAAACGATAAGCAGTGAAACAATTCATACTTTTGAAGATTATTCATCAACTCAATAAAACACTTAATTTTTGTTCCCAACATGAAAGATAATTACACTAAATAGGAATTTAATTCTTTTTTTATTGGTTGAATGGAAAGGATCATTGTTAGATATCGGATAACTATTCGGACTCGGAATGCTACCATACTGTAGAAAATGAAACTTGATAAAATGAAATGAATATTGAATTTGGGAATAAATTTCAACTTCTTCAGCAATATATTTACACATACAAGCATGTATATCTCGTCTAATATATTCATTTATTTATATTTATTGGGCACTGTTGTGTGCAGAAGAGAAGTCGGAGGGCGTCACACAAGGGAGCAATAAAATAAGCATGGATACGCCCTATATGGATGCAATACAAACATTTGTTTGAATCATTTAATTTAATCCCATCTTATCGATCCAAATAAAATCCAACTTCAAAGGGAATACGATTAACACAACAAATGCATTACAGTTTCAGTGTGCTGTCATTCCACTAAGCGATTATTACCGTACATTAAATAACTCATAACGAACAATGGTTTATTTTTTTCCAAAAAATGAGAAGTGGTGATGTTGCTTCAATTCGTCCATTACATATTCTTCAGAATATTATGATCAACATGTCATCCGAGTGAATTTGCAATACTTTGCATTACAAAACCAGTGCTGTTTTGTTAGACCTCGTTCCTCATTCCTCTATGCTCCATCATGAGCCATCGATGTAGACGTAGTGTTTTGTATCCAACTGAAATTTCACTCGGTCAATCACTCATAAAGGTGTCATTTAATGATACAAATTTGATTAATCGATATGAATGTAATATTTAACTCATTTGAGAGATGTACAAACGAGTCTCATTGCGTTTGGTTTGATTCATCCTCATGATCTAGATTACATTCACGCAAGAAAAACATCCAGTAGTTGCGAATTTCTCTGAATGAATAGACTTTATAAGCAAAAGCAACAATACGGTGGTAATGAAGACAGTAATGATAATATGCACTAATACATATTAAGATATATTGTATCATCACACATCGATCATTCATTGATTCGTGTGAAAAAATTAGATAGATGTGAGATAAAGAGGATTACGCAATAAATCGTCAATCAGTAATCAATCAATCGCACTTAATCCCATTATAAATCCCGTCAAACACAGCGCTTTTCAACAATCTCACTAATAAATGGTATTATTGCTCTTCACCATTACCTACGCAGATGTTTTATATATTGATATGTAATATATATCATATACAAATGCGTAATTGTACTTATGTATACATATATACCTATTATGAACATCGCTCCTGCAATACAGTATCGAGCAATGAATCACTCAGAGAACACTTGCAAAATACAAGAGTGACGATGAAACAGGAAAAGTAAGAAATGAACTGACACTGTGCAATTAAATAACCTCACATCAAACAAATTTAATCATCAGTTAGATTCGCTAGCGAAGTAATTAATGTCAAACTATTAGTGGCCGATGGTTCTAACAGGAACGCAAAAGCAGTTTTTTTTTTCGATCACTTGGCACTAATAGGTTAAGCAAAACAAAAGAAACGATGTACCGTGATGCTTTTTAGAGAAGAGGAGAAATTATTTAAGGCAAACATTCTTTAAGAGTTGCATGATCAAATTTTACGATACTCCATATGCAATGAAACTTCGATTTACTTATGCAATCCATTCCACGGACTTGCTCGTAACCTGGAATTTACATAACGCAAAACGTGTGCTGAATTCCATATTGGTTTAATGAAAGTCAATTAATCCATTGCACTCATCTCCTAATTGTAAGGAAAATGAGCTAATTCGTTTCACTGATTCTGAAACGCTCAAATTTTGGACGTCTAAGCAAGTTCATTGATATGGAGAAGATTGAAATCACTTAGGTGAATGATTGAAATGAAGGGATGGAACCAATTGT